TTAGGGTCCTGTGTTTAGGGCCCTATAATGAAAACTGGCAACTTTTCTCTCTTATTCTGCTTTAAAGAATGTTCCTGTTAATGACAGAAAGTTATTATACCTGAGTTAGCCCTGTTATGCTTAGCCAAAGTACTTAATAGATGCTTATTTAATGCTCACTATTCTGCAAATGAGTTCAGTTGCATCATTGTTTCAGATTCCACATAAAAGCAATATCGTACGATATTTGTATTTCTCTGGGTCCATCCACGTTGCTGCAAATGACATTATTTCATTCCTTTTCATGGCTGAGTAATATTCTGTTGTATTTCTATATCACATTTTCCTTACCCATTCTTCTGTCTGTGGATATTTCAGTTGTTTCCATGGCTCAGTTGTTGTGAATACTGCTGCTGTAAACATAGGGGTGCGTTAACAAAGTGTATCATAGTGCGCACTCTTTTTAAATTTATTTTTTTAAGTTGGAGTCTGATTGCTTTATACTGTTGCACTAGTTTCCACTGTAGAACAGCGTCAGTCAGCCCTGTGTGTACATGTATCACCCCCGCTCCTCCGCCCCCGTCTCACCCCGGAGGTCAGCGGTGAGCACCAGGCCGAGCTCCCCATCTGCACAGCCACTTGCCTCTCGTTACCTGTTTCACACGGTGGTGAGTATGTATCAGTGCTGCTCCCTCAGTTCCTCCACCCGTTGCTTCCCTTCCGTGTCCACTCCGTTCTCTGTCTGCATCTCTATTCCTGCCCTGCAAATAGGTTCATCAGTACCGTTTTTCTACATCCTATATATACATGTTAATATACGGTATTTTTTTTCGCTTTCTGAGTCACATCACTTTGTATGCTAGAGTCTGGGTTCATCCACATCACTGTAAGTGACCCGATTTTCTTTTAACAGCTAAGTAATATTCTATTGTATACGCGTACCACATCCTCTTTATCCATTAATCTGTCAGTGGACATTCAGGTTGCTTCCATGTTTGGCTATTGTAAATTGTGCTGCAGTGAACACTGGGAGTACATGTGTCTTTTTGTATTATGGTTTTCTCAGGGTATATGCCCAGTAGTTCTATTTTTAGTTTTACAAGGAGCCTCCATACTGTTCTCCATAGTGGTTATATCAAGGTACATTCCCACCAACAGTGCAAGAAAAGTGAAAGTGAAGTCGCTCAGTCGTGTCCAACTCTTTGCGACCCCATGGACTATAGCCTACCGGGCTCCTCCATCTGTGGGATTCTCCAGGCAAGAGTACTGGAGTGGGTTGCCATTTCCTTCTCTAGGAGATCTTCCCAACCCAGGGATTGAACCCAGGTCTCCCACATTGCAGGCAGACGCTTTAACATCTGAGCCACCGGGGAAGTGCCAACGGTGCAAGAGGGTTCCTTTTTCTCCACCCTCTCTTCAGCATTTATTATTTCTAGATTTTTTTGGTGATGGCCATTCTGACTGGTGTGAAGTGGTACCTCGTAGTTTTGGTTTGCATTTCTTTAATAATGAGTGATGTTGAGCATCTTTTCATGTGTGTCTTCTTTGAAGAAATGTCTGTTTAGGTCTTCCACCCATCTTTTGATTGGATTGTTAGTTTTTGTTAAGCATCATGAGCTGTTTGTAAATTTTAGAGACTAATCCCTTGACAGTCAAATGATTTGAAAATACTTTCTCCCAATCTGTGGGTTGTCTTTTCATTTGGTTTGTTTCCTTTGCTGTTCAAAAGCTTTTGAATCTAAGTGGATCCCATTTGTTTATTTTTGTTTTTAATTTCCATTATTCTGGAAGTTGCATCGAAAAAGATACTGCTGTGATTTCTGTCGGGAGAGTGTTCTGCCTATGTTTTCCTCTAGGCTTCCCAGGTGGTATTAGTGTGAAGAACCCGACTGCCAATGTAGGAGACACGGATTCAATCCCTCGGTGAGAAAGATGCCCTGGAGGAGGAAATGACACCCCACTCCAGTAGTCTTGCCTGGGAAATTCCATGTACAGAGTAGCGTGGCGGGCTGTGGTTCATAGAGTCACACAGAGTTGGACACAACTGAAGCAACTTAGCATGCAGGCGTTTTATAGTGTCCAGTCTCACATTTAGACCTTTAGTTCATTTTGAGCTTTTTTTGTGTGTATGGTGTTAAGGAATGATCTAATTTCTTTTCTTTTTTTTTTACATGTAGCTGTCCAGTTTTCCTAGTACCATTTGTTGAAGAGACTTGGTTTTGTTTTTTTTTTAATATTGAGCTGTTTGTGTATTTTAAGAATTTGTCCCCTATTGGTTACATCATTTGCACATATTTTCTCTCAGTCCTTAAGTTGTCTTTTCGTTTTGTTTATGGTTCCCCTTGCTATGCAAAAGTTTTTAAGTTTATTTGATCCCATTTGTTTATTTTTGTTTTAATCCCCTTGCCCATAACCCCCAGTCTCCCTACCCTACCTTTAGTCTAAAAAATTTATTTATTTTAAAGAAAGATGAATATTTTTAATCATAATAGGTACAATTCACAGAGAAGATAGACCTCATAAACCATTAGACACTTAACAACAAAGAAACAAATACATAAAGCAAAAATCAGAAGAAATATAAGGGGAAAAATATATATATAATCAGAGTGAGACATACTAACATTTCTCTGAGGATATTTTATCAAATACAGAAAAAATAAGAATAGGAACATCTTGAATGATATGATTTATAATTTAAATATAGATTTATATTTAATTAATTTCTATTAATCTTATATCTTGCACAAATATATTTAAAATTTGTATCTCATACATTGTTAGTAGATATCCATAAGACATTTAGAAAAACTGGCAAAAAGATAAACATTACTAAATTTCAAAAAGTAGAATTCTTTTTATGTATATGATTCAGTTATATGTACATGTTATTTTTAAAATTATTTTCCATTATACATTATTACAAGATGCTGACTGTAGTTCTCTGTGCGTACAGTAAACCTTTGTTGCTTGTTGCATATCTGTTTCTCTAAATTAGAAATCTAACATTCTATTCATCCTAAATCAAACAAATGGAATCAGTTCAGTTCAGTCGCTCAATCGTGTCCGACTCTTTGCGACCCCATGAATCGCAGCGCGTCAGTCCTCCCTGTCCATCACCAACTCCCAGGGTTTACTCAAACTCATGTCCATCGAGTCGGTGATGCCATCCAGCCATCTCTTCCTCTGTCGTCCCTTCTCCTCCTGCCCTCAGTCTTTCCCAGCATCAGGGTCTCTTCAAGTGCATCAGCTCTTCGCATGAGGTGGCCAAAGTATTGGAGTTTCAGCTTCAGCTCCAGTCCTTCCAGTGAATACCCAGGACTGATTTCCTTTAGGATGGACTGGTTGGATCTCCTTGCAGTCCAGGGACTCTCAAGAGTCTTCTCCAGCACCACAGTTCAAAAGCATCAATTCTTCGGCACTCAGCTTTCTTCACAGTCCAACTCTCACATCCATACATGACCACTGGAAAACCATAGCCTTGACTAGATGGACCTTTGTTGCCAAAGTAATGTCTCTGCTTTTAATATGCTATCTAGGTTGGTCATAACTTTCCTTCCAAGGAGTAAGCGTCTTTTAATTTCATGGCTGCAATCACCCTCTGCAGTGATTCTGGAGCCCAGAAAAATAAAGTCAGCTACTCTTTCCACTGTTTCCCCATCTATTTCCCATGAAGTGATGGGACCAGATGCCATGATCTTAGTTTTCTGAATGTTGAGTTTTAAGCCAGCTTTTTCACTCTCCTCTTTTCACTTTCTTCAAGAGGCTCTTTAGTTCTTCTTCACTTTCTGCCATAATGGTGGTGTCATCTGCATATCTGAGGTTATTGATATTTCTCCCGGCAATCTTGATTCCAACTTGTGCTTCCTCCAGCCCAGCGTTTCTCATGATGTACTCTGCATATAAGTTAAAAAAGCAGGATGACAATATACAGCCTTGACATACTCCTTTCCCTATTTGGAACCAGTCTGTTGTTCCATGTCCAGGTTCTAACTGTTGCTTCCTAACCTGCATACAGGTTTGTCAAGAGGCAGGTCAGGTGGTCTGGTATTCCCATCTCTTGAAGAATTTTCCACAGTTTATTGTGATCCACACAGTCAAGGGCTTTGGCATAGTCAATAAAGCAGAAGAAATAGATGTTTTTCTGGAACTCTCTTGCTTTTTCGATGATCCAGCGGATGTTGGCAATTTGATCTCTGGTTTAAAACTTTTGTTTTAGTGCATGCAAATCTATATTTTCACTGTGTTGTTTTGTTGATGTTTATTTCCTGAGGCAGTTATTTCTTGGACCATGCTCAGTTGCTTGCTAAAGTTATCCAGTTTCTCTCTTGCAGATCCAACTGTTCATTTTTGTTGAACTCAGGTTAGAAAGTTGCATACATTTTGAGTACTCTTCCCCAACTCTGATTTTACCCTCTTTATTTTTTATTTTGCAGAGTGTCTTTCTTCCCCCCAAGAACATATAGATGGCATTCTAACAAAATACCAAAATGTTAAAGTTTATTTTAAGCAATTTCCTGGAAATGTGTTTCTTAGTATTTTTGGCTAATACTTATGTCTTGGTTACTGTGTTTTAAGTGTGCTAAGAATTTGTCAATGGTTAGCTCTTTTCATCCTCACAGCAGTGCTCTTTCATGAGCCTGGTGGTATCTTATTTTGTGGATAAGGGAGCTGAAGAACAGGGTGAGGAGCGTGCCCAAGTTCACACGGCAGCTGGTCTGGTTCCAGGGACTCTGCTCCCGGTGGCTGTGCTGCATTCCCTCTGCACTGTGTTGGCTCTAAATTAGATGCTAGTATGATTGTCTTATGTAAGCCAAAGTTGTGATGTTATAGCAGATTAAAACCTTACCAGTATTAAATTAAGTAAGAAGAGTTGCAGTGAACACATAAGGACAGCACAGCAGCTTTATCTGTTCAAAGCTGGGCAGTGATGTCAAATGTCAGTACATTGTTGCAGTAGGTTTTGGGGAAGTGTCCGCATTATTTCCTTTAGTTATTTATGGTTTTGAACTTCTTCTTAGGCACATCACCCCTGAAAAATTTTATGTGGAAGCTTGTGATGATGGAGCAGATGATGTACTTATCATCGACCGTGTGTCCACAGAAGTTACACTCTCAGGTATTTCATGGCCAGGGTTGTAAGCGTCCTGAAAGATTTTACACCTGAGTCGCAGTAATGGTTAAACTGACGAGACCTGTGTCGGTGTGTGGGTCTCTGAGTGCCTTCTTAGAAAAAATTTAATTCTTACTACCTCATTTGATTTTCGTGCCTTGACTTTATGCTTCTTCTTGAAATTTTTAGCATTTTACTGTTCATAGGATTAAAAAACTTAATTATTTCTTTATTTGTTCTCTTAACGGTACTATAACGGGATTGATTTTGTTGATATGTTAATGTTACCCTCTAACTATAAAATCTAAAGTATTAGAGTGTGAGAAAGTTGTTTTAGCATAAAGTGTGCGTAATTGTAACAACTGCTTTGTTTTTTAAAATATTCATGACTATGAGGATAATTTAATAAATGAAAAATTATATATATATCACTAAAACTTGTGTTTTAGGCAGAATGGTTTTCCTAAGCTTTATCTAATCTATCTGTATTTTGGTTTTGCTTCTCTGGGGTGTGAAAAACAACTTGTTGTTCAATTGTGTGGAATACTGATTTCTGACTAGATTAATGTGAAATAATTTTGGTGACAAATCAATTTACCATGTGAGAATCACATTTAGAAAGTCATATTTCACTTATTTAAAAATTCACCTCTAGACAGAACTCATTATTTTTTTCTGAAGCACAGTATTTGGCTGACCATAGAGTAGGCATTCAGTAAATAGTAACTATCCTTTGAATGGATAAAGTGAAACATGAAAATATTTTGCATAGGATAGTAAAGTGTAAGAAAAGTAGGACTGTAAGTCTATTTTCTTGGTTATCTGCTTGTTCTTGTTAAGTACTGTGTGTAACTCCTCGTTTGACCTAATGGAGTGACAGCTGTTTTAATTTGGTAATATGGCCTTTCCTATGACTTGCTTGTTGGCTGCTCTCTCAGGATGGCTGACCACTGTTAGTTTCCTTCTAGACTTTGGTCCCCATACTTCTTTATACCTCGTTAATACAACTCAGTGTCTTATAAAAGCTTTAGTGTAGGTGTATTTTCAATTACTCTCTTGATCTGTCAGTGACATTTTATTTGTAAGTAGAGATTGCTGACCCGTTTGAGTGGACAGAGCTAAAGGTCTTGAATAGTGTGGGTGTAAACATGGTAGTAGTCGTCGGTAGACACATGAAGAGATGCTTTGACCATAAGCCAGTGATGATGAGAGCCTGTCGATCCCAGTTTCTCTGCCAGTTACCTTTTACCACTGGGAATGCACACCATTGCCACAGAAAGAGATTTTTTTTTTTCTACCATGAAAAATTATCATAGTCCTAGGAATTATCATCCCCGGTGGCTCAGATGGTAAAGCATCTGCCTGCCATGCAGGAGACCTGGGTTCAATCCTTAGGTCAGGAAGATTCCCCTGTAGAAGGGAGTGACTGCCCACTCTAGTACTCTTGCTTGGAGAATTCCAGGGACAGAGGAGCGTGGGCTATAGTCCGTGGGGTCGCAGAGAGTCAGACGTGACTGAGTGACTGACGCTTTCACTTCCATTGCTGTTACACTCTAGTTACTGTAACTTAACAGCTCTATAAGTAGTACATTTAAGTTTATCAGTTATCTCAATATGGTCAGAGTTTTCTCTGAGCTTTTTATTGCACTGGTATTCCCATTTTTCATGGCAGTTAGTTATGGCAGAGCATTACTAAGTAAATTGAATTATTGAGAGATAAGTAAATTTTAGAATTACAGGACTGCCATTAAGGAACAAGACAGCAGTGTTTCAAAATGGATGATAATTAAAATGTGACTGAAAGAAACAATTTATAGCCATGTAAATTTGGAAAACTTTGAATTAAACCATGGAACAGCTTTCTTTTACTGTAGGCCTTCTTAGAGCCTTTAATCTCCCACTGTACATTGTGACTCAGAGGAAGCCGAGTTAGCAAAATACTCTTCTTTGCCTGGGAGACCCTACTTTCCCTCCTTTTTGCCATTATTCCCTAAACTAGAGTTCTACAAAATATGTTTTGTGTAGCACATTGGCTTAAAGTTTAACAGTTGTGAAGTGAACCTTGTTATCTAAAGTACTCTTCATTAATGAGGGCATTACTGATAAATCGCAGCCAATGATACTGCCTCCCTAGATGCTTATATCAGCTCTTAGGCACCAAGAGGAGGCTTGTCCTGCCTCCTTCCCCTCTTGGATCTTTGCCTCCACTTCCCACATTCTTATACAGGAATACCGGAGTTTTACATTCCATTTGTTGCATGTTGAAATTAACATCTCATCTCAACCTTCATTTACTTTCTAATTCTCTTAAAGGAATAGCTTTGGTTTCTGACAAGAGGCTGAATAAATTTGGTTGAAAGTTGCCGAGGAAATAATCCTTAATTTACGTAGTGAAGTTGCTGAAGCATGTTACTTTTGGCACCATATTCTAGACCAGGCAGAGACCTTTGTGATGTAACATGCACATCTTTATTTTATATTCTGCCAAAATGGGAGGTCTAGCATTAATGAAGGACTATAGCTTTCTTAGAACAAAGCATGCATATTGATTTAGTTCAAGTAACCGTTGAAATGAAACTAAATTTCTGTTGCTGAGCTTTTTCTCAATGAGTTTTCTTTTTTCCTTTATTTTTTTCTTTAAAGTCAAGAAAGATATTCCTCCTTCAGCAGTCACAAGACCAATATTTGGTATACTGGGCACAATCCATCTGGTGGCAGGTAAGAAAATGAGCTAAAGTGGGGGAAAAGGTAATGAAATAGATGGCGGCACACTTTATATCTTACTCGAAGCATTGAATCTGTAGTTTAGGTATTTGTCCTTAATTTCTAAAAGTAATATTCCCCTAGCAGCAAGTGGTTAAATTTATAAGCCTGAGGTTCCTTTTTTTTTTTTTTAAGTTTTGATTTTGGTTTTATTCAACTAGAGTTGAAATCTCTGGTCTGCTAGAGATTTTCCATAAATTCTAAGAGTGTTTACAGAAAAATGTTAATGCATTGATGAACCAGAATATGCTGTACCTGCAGCTGCTTACTGGGGTTGATTATGACATAGAGCATGTTAGAGAATGTTACCTGGTTCTAGTTACTAGAAGAGTGATTTTTCGAATTTAAATTTTATTTCATACTTTTAAAAAGTTCCTGTTGTATCAGGCATACAGTTATATGCTGAATATAACTGAATGCTGTTATATTTATAAAAGATGCAGGTCCCTTTTGTCCTGCAGTTTACAGTCAAGTGAGAGAGGCGTTAAACGGTAAGTTACCACAGTACAGTGTGACAAGTTCTGGGAAAGCTTCCAGAGAGGGCCCTTGTGGTTAGAGCCCCAAACAGGTCTGAGGGATAAATCGAGTGGTAAAGGCTTTCCCCGGCTAATTTGTGGGAGGAAGAGGAGGTAGCCAAGATCAGGGTTGGTGTGTTATACACATGGTGCTGTGACGGCTTCTTCCTCCTGACCACTCACCTTTGGAGTGTTACAGTAACCAGTTAGTTATACTGCCCAGCACATCTCTCTACCATTTAGAATAACGGGACGAACATGGGGGGTGTGTAGGCGGGACACTGTCCTGCAGTGGCCAAATCTCATGACCTGTGGTGCTTTAAGCTACACATTGGGAAACGCATTAGCAGAGGCATGCATGCTTAGGGCATAATGTGTGGGGGGGTGGGCAGGGAGAGAGAAGTGTTTTCTGTCTCTCATTTTCCATCTGCTAGGGTCACTACTCTGGTTACCAAAAGCTTTTGCTTTTACCTTTTTGAGAAAAAATTTGACCTTTCAAAAAAATATTTTTAAATAATATGCTCATCTCTCTATTCATAAATTATAAGATTGCCTTAAAAATGTACTCATCCTTTATTTAGCACAACTCCTGCCTCTAGAGTTTAAAGGACTGCTACTTCTGGCTTTCTCGTTGTCTTGTTTCTATTTACCTAAGTTTGGCTTTGCTTTTTGCAGGTAATTATCTAATTGTCATTACCAAAAAGAAAAAAATAGGTGAATTTTTCAATCATGTAATCTGGAAAGCAACAGATTTTGATGTCCTTTCTTACAAGAAGACGATGTTGCACTTAACTGATATTCAGGTAAGAACTGGAGACACTTATTGCAGAACCCAAAGAAGTCCCATGGCGTGGGTGGGGAAAGGAGGTGGAACACAGAAAGTTCGGTGAAGTTCACTTTGACTCTCTGATCCTGCTGATTCCTAGACTGTGTTCTCTCCTTTGTTTGCAGTTACAAGATAATAAAACTTTCCTAGCAATGATGAACCATGTCTTGAGTATGGATGGGTTTTACTTTTCAACGACATATGATTTGACCCATACTTTGCAGCGGCTCTCCAACACTAGTCCAGAATTCCAGGAAATGAGTCTCTTGGAAAGGGTAAGCTTAATCTTCTATTTTTAAAAAAATTTTAATCTATTTTTTAATTTTTAGGAGCATGCCTCTATTTCATCCATAAAATATATATTGATTTTTCTCAGTCCTGGCTGTATCAGGATCATGTATGGGGCTTTGAAAACATACCATGTTTCAAGTAGACATCACACTTTGAAATTCAAGATCCCAAAAAAAGTATGTTTCACAGACAGGATCAAGAACCGCATTTGTGCATTTTCAGAAATCTAGCTTGAACACGCATGTTGGTCATTTCCTAGCTCTCAGTGGTCTGTGGTATAACAGAACATTATCAACACCATCGTGCTTGTAAAATTAATGTTCTAAGAGGTGAACTTCTTTCTGTAGCTTTTACAACGAGAAAATAACAACTTATTAACTTGGAAAATATGCTTTTTTAGTGTGGGTTGTGATTCCCCCTCCCCTGCCTTTTTTTAAAAATTAAACATATCTTTAAAACTAGACTTCAGATGATCTTAACATGAAATTTCTGCTGTTCAGGAACCTAGATAACTGCTGCCTTGATTTTTTGTTGTTGTTGTTAACAAAAATAGATATGTTTAGGGGGCAGATAGCATTTATAAAGTTGCATTAGTTATCTGTTAGCTTGGACCATATGAAATTGCCACTAGCTGACCATTTTTGATCCATAAGAGTGATAATTTTATATAGTTCAGCCTAAATCAATATTTTAGTTGACTAACTTACTGAAGCCTATAATAGTCTACTCGTAAAATTATATGTAGGCTTAGATGTAAGGAGAAGGAGGCAACAAAGGATGAGATGGTTAGATAGCATCACTGACTCAGTGGACATGAATTTGAGCAAATTCCAGGAGATAGTGGAGGACAGAGGAGTCTGCAGGAGGACAGAAACATGCTGCAGTCCATGAGGTTGCAAAGAACTGGACACGACTGAGCCCACATTAATTGAAAAACTTCTCTCTTAGGCAGATCAACGGTTTGTATGGAATGGTCATCTTCTTCGAGAACTTTCTGCTCAGCCAGAGGTAATGTACACTAAATAAAACCAACTTATTTGTCACTGTCCAAGTTGTAATTGAATATGTGTTATATAATGGCTAATCACTAAAGATTTTGGTAAAGAAACCTAATTTAACTGTTTATAAACTTGTGAACTTCAATTAGATCCACCCTCTCACATCATTCTAGGTTGAAGAAGCCTAGTTATTTTACTCTGATCTTTACTCCGATCTGGAAGCCTTAAATACAGGAAAAAACATCTGAGTAAAAATAACATTGCTTTCTGTAAGGAAGAGAGAGAGAATAGGTCTTGGAAAATGAATAATGTAGAAATTGGGCCATAGCTAATTCCCCAGGCAAGTGGAAAGCTCTGCATTTGTGTATGTAAGGGACCCTGACTCCCTTCAGTCACCCAGGGTAGACGTGCATAGATGTCACCTTCCTCTGTACTCGTCTATACAAATGAGGTATAAACATGGAGGCCCACTTCAGAAGAGTAATGCATGGAATCTAGGGAAATCGATTTGCCTGATGGCTTCATTTCTTGACATTTGCTTTGCTTTTTTGGGAAAAGTAGATTGAACTGCCTGGAGGAGTGCCGTTGTTGTAGGCTGAAACTGACAGATAAACGTTCTGACCCTTCATGTGGTCCTGTTAGTGTTTCAGAGTCTATGAATGTTCAAACCCAAATGATTCCAGCAAATACTTAAATTTTTTAAATTGAAAAGGCAGTGTTACATTAGAAAACATATTTTTTTATATAGTGCTTCTTTTTATTATTATCAAATTATATTTATTCCTAAACATTATCTTCATTTCAGGTCCATCGGTTTGCCCTTCCGGTATTACATGGCTGTATCCTTACATATTACTCTTTAGTTTTCTGGCAGTCTTAATTTAAATATTATTATAAGGCAGACTTAAAGACAGTCTCAACTGTTACTTGAGGAGGGTTTTTTAGAATTAGTAGATACTGCTTTTGATAATAAAATCAAACCTATTAACATAAAATCTGAGAATACTGGTTGTAAATTGGTTGTAAATGACCTTTTTTTTTTTTTTAAATAGAATGACCTCTTTAGACTGAATCTCTCTCTCCCAGAATTCTGGGGCTTGTGGGTTAAAAGAAGAAATATGTCCACTGTGTTTTGGCTTTTTAGACTTTGTATCAATAAACAAGAGTAATTTTAGCCTGACTAGTGAACATTTTCTTAGTAATTAAGAAAGTTAGACTCAGGAACTAGTGTGACCAGCAACTTGGAGAGGAGAATTACAATTGAAAATTATATTTGTCATTTGAAATAGCCCCAGAAAAAATGAAACATAGATGTTTTTATGAAGAGTGATGCTTGCGGGGCAGGTATGGTACTAGTACAGAATGAGTAATGGTTATCTAATTGTAAGTTCATTTTAAAAACGTCTTCATCAGAGACATCATCATATTAATAAAAATAGGGAGCAGACTGAGCTGGCTGTTACAGGGTCCACACAGTGTCCTGGTGAGCGCCCGAGATTGGGACTCCGCTTGCAGAAACCGAGGGCGTCTCTCTCTCAAGTACTCCCAAAGAAGCTTGGGAGCTGACACAGCAGCCTGTGATTTATTTGTTCATTATGTTAATATGATTTCCTTAAATTATCATGCTTATTATATGTAAAAGCAGAAAATAGTAATGCAGGAAAGATTTTCTACAGTTGTGAGAGAATAGAAATCAGAAAATGTCAGGATAAAAGCTCTTGTTTATTCTGGTTTTGTTTTGCTTTTCCCTGAAGCTCTCTTAAGTTCTCCTAAGGGTAAAATAATAGCAAATGTTCTATTTAGGTAGCACTTTAAGGATTTGAGCCACTTGTTTGTGTGTGTGTTTTTTAATTCGAAAATGAGATTGTGAATGGGCAAATAATGGTAAATGAGACTATAGAAACAGATTATCCATTTAGCCTTAAATCTGAAGCTTAAGGTTGGCTTTTAAACAGTGTTTAAATGTAGCTGTTTTGGCTGTGGCGGTCTTCGTTGCTGTTTGCAGGCCTTTCTGTAGTTGCAGCCCGTGGGGGCTGCTCTTCGCTGCAGTGCGCGGGCCTCTCATTGCAGCGGCCTGTTTCTGAGAGCACAGGCCAGGGTGCGCAGGCCCCTCATTGCAGCGGCCTCTTGCTGAGAGCACAGGCCAGGGTGCGCAGACCTCGATAGCTGCGGCTCCTGGGCTCTGGAGCCCGGGCTTAGTTACTGCGCTGCTTGTGGGATCCTCCCAGACCAGGGATCAGACCTGGGTCTCCCGCGTTGGCAGGGCGTTTCTTCACCGCTGAGCCACCAGGGAAGCCCTGCATTGTTCTTTGTCTAGTGTTGACTTTTGACTAGAGCTGTCGTCAGGTGTTCGGTGTACTTAGAGACCAACAGGAACAGAGGGCCCATGGCGGGAGCATTCCTGGGGCAGAGAGTGCACGGGGCAGGTGGGAGCTGGGCTCAGAGGTGCAGCTGGGCCCGCGTCCTGCCGGCCCTCAGCAGCTTGGCCCTTAACTGTCAGGAGGAACGCTCGGGATCTGAGGAGAGAATCGGCATGGTCGGACGGGGTCACTCGGACCCTGGTGGAGCGGATAAGCCAAAGGGGAGCGGGGACGGGATACAAGGGGAGTTAGGAGCTGTTGTCTGGATGGAAGGTGATGGTGATCAGCAGTGGTCGGGCTCCAGATATGTTTTGAAGGTAGAACTAAAAGGAGTTTCTGACAAATTGTGGTACACAGGGAAGGACAGAGGGTTTAGCATGCATCTTAAGGTTTTCGGCCAGAGTAAATGGAAGGAAGCCATGGACTGAGGTGGGGGAGAGCTGAGTTGGGAGGGAGGCTGGAGTATCCGGGCCTTTATTTGGACATGTTAAGCTTGAAATGTCTCTGAATATCGAACTAGAGATGGCAGAAAAACATGGATTAATGAAAGTGGAGTTTAGGAGGGAAGTACACATTGGAGACATATATTTGCGAGTCCTCAGGGTACAGATGGCATTCAAAGCTACGGGATGAGAGCATCAAAGGGAGAAAGGTATGTAGAGAAGAAAAAGGTGTGGAGAAGGAGAGAAGACAGCCTGCAGGGGATTCTAGATCGTGAGTCAGTGCTAGAGCCGTGGACTGTTGGCCCCAGTGAGGACAGAGGGCCTTTGAAGCGGGGCATCAGAGTGAGTGAGGCAAAGGATGAGTCACACAGAGTGGCTCTCAGATTCAAAGTTGGGGAAATGAAGACCAACCAACAAAGGCCGCTGAGGGAGAGGAGAACCAGCCAAGTGAGAGCTGTGTCCCAAAGCAGAGGGTCCATCAGCTGAAGTGCTGCTGGTCGGTTAAAGAGGCCCATTAGAGAGGAAGGTTATGCTCCTGCTCCCCTCACTTCCCTCCCCAAGTGGAGGCTCTTACCACATCCCGGAAAGACAGGGTTTGGAGAAGGTGGGAGCACAGTCCCGTGCTGGCACAGTGTCCTTGAGTGTGAGGGGGTGCACAGGTCACAGGCCTGGCAAGGACAGCTCCCCCGCTGGACTGTCCAGCCCAGCCGCCGTGGTAGAAAGGGAGCGGCTGTGCGGGCGTGCAGGCCAGTGGGTACGTAGATGCGGCGGGAGCACGTGGGTGGCCGTTACTTTCTCACTGAAATTGGAAGCAGTGCCATTAGCTGTGAGCAGTAGTCAGAAGTTGAGGACAACATGTGAAATGTGTATCCCATGTGGGAGCGCATGGCCCTTTGAGTCACTAATTGATACAAGATTAGAAGTGAACACATTGACATTTTAAAATTTGTGTCATGATGATGGGCTTCTGCATGACTTTTTATTTTTCTCTTGTTCCTTCTCTGCTTTCTGGAAGGATATTCATCTTGTAATCAGAAGAAAATGATTCATAAAACAGACATATTCCATGCTTTACTCAGTTCTCTCAGGGCAGGCTCCTGTCTGATTCATCTTTGTGCTCTGCTCCAAAGAGATAACTTGAGTGAATGAATGCATAAATAACTGCTTTGAAGTCTTCTCTAGCACTGTGCTTTTAAAGAATTGTGAACTGGGAGCTCAAGATGAGTCATTAAGTCTGATGATACCAGGTGATGGAGAAGGATGAATCATTAGAATTTCATATTGCTAAAAAAAAAATTCATATTTCTAGTGCCATTCAGTACCGCTGCTTTGAAAATTATTTAGCATTTCCTTGTGAATTTACTAGGCCTTCCCCTCTGTATACCCAGCATGTTTATACCAGGACGTTTTTCAAGAATGTTCACAGCATCACTATTAGAGCCGACTCTGAGCACTGCAAGTTGCATCAGCAGAATTAGGCTTTTGTGATACGGTCCTTCCAGATTTCATACGACACCAAAGAGGACCGAACTGCTGCTTCATGCCGTAATGATGACTGTTAGGTACTTACTAGGGGCATAAACAAGGACTTGGAGTTATATTAAGAGTGTTGTGCCATCATAACACAAGCTGTGTGTTTTTAAGTCATGGTTGCCTATGAAAAAGGGAAAGTCACTCAATCCTGTCCAACTCTTTGGAAACCCATGGAATTCTCTAGGCCAGAATACTGGAGTGGGTAGCCTTTCCCTTCTCCAGGGGATCTTCCCAACCGAGGGATCGAACCCAGGTCTCCCACATTGCAGGCGGATTCTTTACCAGCTGAGCCACAAGGGAAGCCCACAAATACTGGAGTGGGTAGCCTATTCCTTCTCCAGTGATCTTCCCGACCCAGGGATCGAACTGGGGTCTCCTGCATTGTAGGCTGATTCTTCACCAACTGAGCTATCAGGGATTACACTAAAAAGGCAGGAGACTGGTCTCCACAAGCCTTGTGGGTCAGTAGACAGTTGGATGGGATCAAGGAGCAGATGGTTAGATTCAGGGTTTTGATACTGTTTGGAAGTTGAAAGTAGGTTTATATATATTTTATTATGATACTATGCTTATAATGGATGAATCAAACTATATTAAGAAAAATGTTATATACATATGTGTGTATATATATATATAAATAACCTTGGCCAAACACATGAGGAAGGGGGAGATAATTTTTAATTATCTGCTTCTGAATAATCTTTAATTAAGTTTGACCTATAAATCTTCATATGCTTACCAACTGTTATTTGTAATTATGTGTGTAATATATCTAACATAAAACTTCAGTTGTCTAGTCTTTTTTCCATTTCTTATTTGAAGGTTAATCTGTTTTTAAGTGTGTATATGTTTTTCACTCAAAGATGATTTTTTTGTGATGTGGTTAGTATGTAATTCTTTACTTTCACAGGGTGATTGAGACTGTCAGGGAAAGGAGATCATATTGTATAAATAGAGACACTCTAATGAGCCCCTTAAACACACTGAATATGTCATTATAGGGTCATTGACTTGATAGAACTTCACAATCAGAAGTAAAGGCTTGTGAATGCTCATGAAGAAACAAAAAGACTTGCATATTCTCTGTACTTTTCTTCCTTTTAGAGACAGAGTCTTTCTAACTAGGGTAGAGAGATTCAAATTTCATCTGAAAATAATACATATGATTTCTCCACATGTTGTATTTTTCTTAATGTAGTTGAGTTATTACCATGCACTCATGTTCTATTAATGGAAAATACTTTGATTGGATTCTCATCTCGAGGAGGAGTTGTTTCAGAGCTGGTGTGCGCTATTATGTGAGAGGTGAGATGAATTTTGTCAGTGCGATTTGGTACTGGGTTATATCTGTCTCTAATTAGTGTTTGTCTCCTGGTGACATGAATGTAACCTTATGTATTTTATTTGTTTTCATTATCATTTGATAGCCTTGCTAAATGTTTATCTCCTGCTTCCTTATAATAATTAGGTAGGTCTTCTGTGCTTTACTATAGCTGCTGAAGTGACATTCATTGCCTTGTTCATGAGACACTGTAGACTGCCGCTTAAGGCTTTAAGAGGAACCGATCATGTTATTTGCTGAATGTCTGAAAGCATAGCTGAAATCACTATAGTGTAACCTAAACCCATATCAGAAAGTATTTTCTTTTATTGCTCTTGATTTCTTTGCATGTATAAAGCTAGACATTTGACTTTGTGCCTTCAGCTTTTAAGATTTACATTCGAGCGTTGATTCTCTAGATTTTGTACTAGCAACATGCTAATTTGCTTAAACCAGGGTATTAAAATCTGTATTACAAGTTACTGTCATTATGAAAAGAAGTTTCCCTGAATCTATTTTTTTAAGCCAAAGTATATCAGAATAAAACTCTATGGATTTACTCTATGGTAAATCATGAAAGTTTTGGGTCAGGAGATCGTAAAAGTCATTTCATTAATCTTAAGCATAGCAGAGGAAGAAAGACATTTAGTGAGTTACCTGGCCAAGGTTATACAACCAGAATTAAAGTTAACAATGCCTTTATATCTGGATTGTGTTGGATGGAGTCATATTTTTTAATTAAAAGCTTTAAATTTGCAGTGCAGTCAGAAATATAAAAAGATATGCAATTAAAAAATATTTCTCCTTTCTGACTGTATCTGCTGCATCTTACCCCTGACCAGCTGATCTGTTGTTAGTTTCTTATCTTTCAGATAATTTTTATGTTATTGCAAGTGTGTTCTCCTTTTGTAGACAGTGGTTGTATACTGTGTACATTTTCTTGTACCTTGGGTTTTTTTAAACTAAATATATTGAAAATCCCTTCTTAAAGATCCTCTCTTTCACACATAAACACTCTCTTAACTCTTATTCTCAATCTCAGTTTTTAAAATAACTACATATTATCCTTAATGAAAATTCTTGGCAGAACCAAGTATAGCCCATGCTTCAACAAGTGGTTTTAGAAGGTATTGAAAAGGCATTTTATTGTTGATTTGACTCATAATTTTTTTCCCCTTCTGGTAAATATGTTAACAAAAACAGTGATATTATATGTTACACCTCAGTGTTATGTGTTTTAGAAATATATCAGGTAGAAAGGATGTTAAGTATTTGAGATTGTTAAAAATCTACTTTTTATTTTTTTTCCTGATAATTTGAGTCGGGCACTAATTGCCTTTGCTTATTTTTAGCAAACTTTTCTTAGTTAAAATAGATAATGTAAACAAGATAGTAAGGTAATGCTTCAGACATTTGAAAGAACTAACTAAATCAAGGCTAAATAAGAGCAGTGCTTTTCAAATTAGTTTTTTGGGGTGTATACATGGAGTTCTAAAAATCGTAGGATTATATATAGTTTTTTGTGCTTTCATTTTGATAGTTAAAGTTGTCAGCATCTGCTGGGTTACTTGCATCATTATAACAAAAACTATTAACAAAATGGCCCACATTCACATTTAATACTGTGTTTAACGGTTTAACTTCCAAAATAGTGTTTTTCAAACTGGGATCTATGTCATAATATACTCTCAGAGATTTTTGAGAACTTGTTTTTTCTTTAAAAGATGTACAAAGTTCGAGAAACACTTTTAGGGGAATTTTGTATATATAAATAATTGATATAGTAAATAGCAGTCAACATCATTTGTTTATTAATAGGTCCTTAATACTGCCTTTAAGCCCATGTAAATGAGCAAGCGTCTGTTAGCTTTCTGATGATGTACTCTGCATTTGTTTGAAATTTAGTTTTGAAAGTACTTTCCCACTAATTTGAACTGACTTAATTCTCTTCAAGTTAAGAGTGAATTAGTGAGTTTCTTATGTTTTTGTTATGTAATAAATTAATTTTTTTTCCAATTCAGGAATTGATTCCGAAGGCCATGCAGCTAACTTTGTAGAGACAGAACAAATTGTGCACTACAATGGGAGCAGGGCTTCATTTGTACAGGCAAGTTACCATGTCTGTGAGGCAGCCAGCCAGTTGGTCTTTTCAGCTTGGATTGTGATTTCCTGTTATGTTGTTGAAGTTTATCTCCTTTTCTCTCCTTTTAAAAGTAATATTGCAGTCTGTGATGTGGACAGAGTTCACCCAGAATAAGGATATTCCGTTAAGCTGGCTGGCGTTCAGCTTCCTCTGTTTGCAGCCCTTGAATTAAATCCCTACAGAAGAGATAGGGTAGGCGGTGCGGGGGTTGTGGAAATGGAGCATCTGTATACTTAACCCGTCAGACTTCTTCAGGGCAGTGAGGACAGGACAGGCAGCTGGCTTACGCCTGACATGACCTGCCGTGCACCTCATTGTGACATAGTACCTGAGCAGTGGATCACTTGTTGGTCGAGAGCATTAATGGCTAAAAATATTTTTAAGTTCATAAAAATAATCTTTTGAGAATGAATAAAGCAATTTTCTCGTTTTATTATAATGCCAAATTATATAGCAGACATAACTTGGTAATTTTTACTTGTAGATAAATTGATTTATTTTAGAATTTAGGAGAAGCCCAACCGTCCACAAATACATGTATGTAAAATCAGAAAAAGTCCTTCCCAAATGTTTCCCCACAAAATATGACTTTAGGAGCAGGTAAACATGAATTTATTTCATAGTTAATAGGTCATATGTGTATTTTTCTATTTTTTAGTCATTGATACTTACACACCCCAGACAGAAAGCTGAGAAAAACAAGTGTGTGTGTATATGTTTCTTTTTACATATCTTCTCTTTTTTTTTGTAGACTCGAGGATCAATACCACTTTACTGGTCTCAAAGACCAAACCTCAAGTACAAACCATTGCCACTGATCAACAAAGTAGCAAATCATGTGTGTATCTGCCACACTGTTTCATTGACTATGAATAGAAGCTTATTGGAATTATAATTTGCATATAGAGCATGTATTCCTCATAAGTCAGGCTTCAGTGTCTTTGAGGCCTTTCTCCTTGGTTCTGGCACAGAGTGGACCTCTAAACCAAGAGACTGTATAGATGGCATATTAAAATGTGGAAAAACAAATTGAACGTCACAGTGAATTTTGATTTTAGAGATCTCAGTGAGATTTGCAACTTTATGTATGCTGTTCAAAATATTTAGTGTCTTCTATTTGATATTAAGCTCTGAAATAAAATAGTATTATTGTAGCTCAGAGCAGAATGGCTTATAATTACTACTTACTACATGGTATTAAGAATATCTAAAGGACAGCTTAATGTCATTCTCTTGAATATAGAGATAGGACATTTAAGGAGATCCTTTTAAACATCTTGTAAGTATTCTTGTAATCTGGTAAAGTATGTACTTTTTCTTTCCCTCTTTCTAGATGGACGGTTTCCAAAGGCATTTTGATTCACAAATAATTATTTATGGGAAACAAGTCATAATCAATCTGGTATGTGTCTTTCTTATATTTCTTGGGGAACAAAACCTTAGCATCTTTTTTTTTTTTAACATAACAAAATTTACCATTGTAACCATTTTTAAGTGTGTAGTTCAGTGGCCTTAAATTATTTTATAGTGTTGTACAACCATCACCACTCTCCATTTCCAGAAGTTTTCATCATACCAGACAAAAACTCAGTATCCCTTAAATAGTAACCTTCTATTATCCCTCTCACTTCAACTCCTGGTAACTATTCTGCTTCTGTCTCTGTAGATTTGCCTGTTCTAAGTGCCTCACCTAAATTATATTGCGTAATGTTTATTCCTTTGTGTCTTGCTTATCTTAAGCAGACTGTTTCTCTTTTGTGGCTCTGAGTTACTTTGTAGCGCCTTTTCATTCTAAGCTGAGGACTCTAGTGTTTCTGGTAGGGCAGGTCTGCTGTGCTTAGTTGATCAGTCATGTCCAGCTCTTTGCGACCCCATGGACTGTAGCCCGCCAGGCTCCTCTGTCCACTGGGATTCTCCAGGCAAGATTACGAGAGTGGCTTGCCATGCCCTCCTCCAGGGGATCTTCCCAACCCAGGAACTGAACCCAGGTCTCCCGCACGGCAGATGGATTCTTTACTGTCTGAGCCTCCAAGGAAGCCCCTTCTCCAGGGGATCTTCCCGACCCAGGAATCAAACCAGGGCTTCCTTCACTGCAGGCAGATTCTTTACCAGCTGAGCCACCAAGGAAGCCCAAGAATACTGGAGTGGGGAGCCTGTCCTTTCTCCAGGGGATCTTCCCGACCGAGGAATCGAACTGGGGCTTCCTTCACTACAGGCAGATTCTTTACCAGCTGAGCAAACAATTCCCTCAGCTTTTTTAAAATTAAGAATATCTTAATTTCTCATTTTTGAATTACAGTTTTGCCAGATATAGAATTCTTGGTTGACAGTGCTTTTTTTTCCTTTCAGTACATAAATATACCATCTCGTGGCCATCTGGCCTCTAAGGTTTCTGAAGAGAAATTGGCATATAATTCTACTCAGAATCACTTGTATGTGATGAGTCCTTTCTCTCTTGCTGCTTTCAAGATCTCTCTTTGTCTTTAAGTAATTCGATTATAATGTCTGATGTGAATTTCTTTGGATTTGTCATATCTGGAGATTGGATACCTCTTGGATTTGAAGATCTCTATATTTCATCAAATTCGGGAAGTTGTTTTGCCATTTTCTCTCTTTATAACCTCTCTGCCCCTTCCTCTCCTTTTTCTAGGCCTCCTATAATGAATATATTGTATCCTCGGTGGTGTCCCAAGTCCCCTAGACTGTTCAGTTTTCTGATTCTTTTTTCTTTCTGCTCCTTCAACTTGATTATTTTATTTGTTATATCTTCAAGTTTGCTGATTCTTTTTTCTTCCTGCTCCTTCAACTTGATTATTTTATTTGTTATATCTTCAAGTTTGCTGATTCTTTTTTCTTCCTGCTCAAATGTGCTGTTGAACTCCTTTAGTGAATTTTTAGTTTCCCTTTTGTACTTCTCAACTCCAGACTTACCGTGTGGTTCCTTAGAATAATTTCTGTTTCTTTGATATTCTCATTTTTTTTTTCATATACTGTTTTCCTGATTTCCTTTACTACTTTGTCCGTGTTTTCATTTAGCTCTGAACATATTTAGGACAGTTATTTTGAAAGTTCTTTATAAATAAGGTTTCTATAGAGATGATTTCTATCAGTTTATCCTTTTTCATTAACTAAGCCTTGTCTTCCTTTTTTTTTGTATACCTTATGATTTTGTTGTTATTGAAAATGGCATTGGATGTACATAATACAGTAACTCAGAAAGTCAGATTCTTCTTTCCTAGGGGTTTTCTGTTTTGTTTTGTTTTTGTTTTGTTTTGATTGTTGAATGCTATAGTAATTCATTTGTTTTGAGACTTTTCCAGACTATTTTTGCAAACACTGTTCCTTGTGTATGCTTGCTGAAGTCTCTATTCTTTTAGCTTGTGTTCAGCTAACAGTGATAGAAATTTCCTTGAGTATCAGGAGATGAAGTAGACAAAGGAAAAACCAAAAAAGAGAACAAACCCATCTCCCAATTTCTGCTGACTGGTTCTGTGGTGGAGCAGTCCTTCACGTATTTAGTTAGGCTTGCTCTGAACCTAGGGATTAGCTTGAGGTGAAGCCTTAAGGTTTTTTTAGGATTTTTCAGAGTGTGCATCTTGCTTGGGTATGCACATGGCTTTCTAAAACCCTCCATGAATGTGGCTGTTTTTTAATATCCTGTTTTCCCAAAGAGTTATCTTTAATACCCCAGCTGCTTCTGCAGGCTTCAGATGGTCTTTTTTATGTCACCACCTGAAATATCTTGCCCTAGGCATCTATCTGTTGGTTTGTAGTCCTCTTGCAGCTTACATGAGCAGTGTTTACCACTTTACCTGCCTGTGTTCATGTTTATGCAGGACAGAGACCCTGAGTCACTCCTTCAGATCAGAACAAAACATACACAATAGCTTGCAAATAAAAGTTCTCGTCTTCTCCCTCCAATTAGAGGAGAGGGACTGAGACCTGTTGCTGCTGCTTAAGCTAAGATTGTCACTGCACTGGAGAAAGGGTAAGGTAAGGGCAGGAAAAATGCTGCAAAATTGTCCTCCAATTTTGAAGATAGCTTTATTTGATTGGACATCTGCTTGGTTGCTAAAAGCCTTCTATTGTTTTCCAAAGTTCCTACAAATTTGGTTTAGACAGCATCTCTTTTCTCTGATGTTTTTGTGAAGGTACAAGAGCTTAAAGCTTCACAGTCTGCCATTTTGTTGATGTCACTGTCTCCGTTTAATTAAACTTAAAACTATGGTGGTTTTAATTTTTTTTCAGGTAAATCAGAAGGGCTCAGAGAAGCCACTTGAACAGGCATTTGCCACAATGGTGTCTTCCTTGGGGAACGGAATGATCAGGTACCTCACTAGAAGTCTGTTGTCGGGCTTTTCAGGTTAGATGTGCACTTCATGTCCATGCAAGTACATGGATCTCTCTCTGGGCATATTTCAGTTGGTTGTTTTCAAAGCATGGTTTTGTTTGCTTGAAATTTTCTCTGACATAAAAAATTCGTGTTGCAGGATAACTTCTTTTTTAATTTTTACTGGGAGTGTAGTTGATTTACAATGTTGTGTTAGTTTCAGGTATATAGCAGGGTGAATCAATTATACATATATCCACTCTTTTTCTTTTTAAGATTCTCTTCCCATGTAGACCATTACAGAACCCTGAGTAGAGTTCCTTGGTTCCCTGTGCTGCACAGCAGGTTCTTACTAGGTTTCTCTCTATGTATTGTAGTGTGTATGTATCAGTCTCAGTCTGCCAGTTTATCCCCCGCCACCCCATATGCCCTGGTAGCTGTAAGTTTGTTTTCTACATAAATAAGCTCATTTGTACAGAATAATTTAACAGTTGAGTTTTAATTTGAATTTTGGTTAAAATCCTCACCTTGAGGCTTTGTGTTGCCACAGCCATTGGGTCTTTAAGTTACTCACATCTGCCTGGTCCTGACCCCACACAAGCTGGAGCAGTGTGGTGGCCTGGTCTGGAACGGTAGCTTGTCCCTCCTGTAAGTCACCAGACAATAGTTAGAAATTCTCTGTAGCTCTGTCAGAAAAGAGAGGGAGCCTAAAACATTAGTAGTTGCCCTGTGGAAGTGTGCAGGGTGATGAGTCAGCCCATTTGGAGCGTCCTGCATCCAGAAACTGGTCTAGGAGGTGGGGGTGTACTCAGGTAGGAAGTGGTCACAGGCAGTGGGGAAGGCTTTCAAAGAAATGGTACTGGGTTATTTGGTAACAATTTTTTTTAAGCTATAGAAAATTTTAAAACATAAAAATAGGACATAATGAACCCTTGGGGAAGAAATTAAGTTTGTTTTGTCCAACTCAAAAACTCTAGCAAATTCTTCAGACCCTTGCTCCATGTACATTTCTGCCTTCTTACAGTGGAACCTGCCCAGACACACTTTGCATGAATCAGAGAAGTGATTCCTATCCAAGATGTGCCTTAAAATCTTGAGAGAAATTACTCAGAATATATCTAAGACCTGAAAAATCAGAATCTGTGGGCTTAAAGCCCAGCATGTATCATATATTCTAGCAAAAGTTTATCTCCTGGTTGCTGGGTACACCCCTGGTTAAGACCTTTTCTGTGCTTCAGAGGGTTTCCGTAGGCAGTCTTGCCTCCAGGGTTTGCAGCAGAAGCTAACTTTGAGAACTTGAGGCGTATGTCAGTCTCAAGTTGTGCCTTTGGTGTTCCAGTGCATTCGGAAGGCTCCTTCTGCTAAGAAGTGAAACCCTAAAGCTATTGTTACTGAAATACAATGATGTAAGACATACTCTGAGAAGACACAAACATAATTTTAGAAGGATGTAAGTCGAAGAGTCCAAATGCATTTAGGTGCTAATGAGCCACTTAAATTCTTCAGACAAGTCTATAGCCATGATCAGAGCTCTCCAAAAATAAACACGATGCCACCAGTTTTAGCGGAGCTGCCTTTGAAAGTGCTTCCCCCACTTAGTCTGCGCAAAGCCTAGCTCACAGTTGGCTAACATCGGTTTTTATGCTGACGTGTAAGGCCCCTCTGTAGAAGGAAATGGTAACCCGCTCCAGTGTGGAGAACCCCATGGGCAGAGGAGCTTGGCGGGCTATACAGTCCATGGGGTCGCAAGAGTCGGAGGCGACTCAACAACAACAAGGCCCCATGGTTGGCTAGCCTCTGTTTCTATGCTAATGTCTAAGGCCCCTCTTCTGCCCTGAGATAACCGCTGAGGTGATAGAACCGCTCTCTGGACCTGCTGGAAGCCTACCCTGTATTGATGTTTGAGGTCCCTTCCGCCGTTGGAGCCAGGAAGTCACATGAGAGCAGGCGCCTAATCTGAATTTTGCTCTGTAGATGAGAGTGTAGTGTCCTTCTAGTCCTCCTCCTCCATGACTTGACTTGATGCTTGAGTAGGAAGTTGGGTGAAAGTGGCTTGTGTGAGAATCTTCAGGTGCCCTGGTGCCCAGGTTCTTTACGTTCTTCTTCCTCTTTTGACTTTCAGGAGTTGGTTAATGATTTTCTCCCCCTCTCAAGGGGCAGCATTTTCGAGTTCCTAGGAGGATACCTTCACTGTTAGATGTGTTCCAGCTTTGAGATTTATGCTTCTTGAATATCAGATAACTGAAAACAACCCATTACAGATTGACAGACTAGAAAGTTCTCTCTACCACATGTGTGTGTGATGTATGGATATTGATAAAGTGAATATTTTGGCAGGATGAACAAGTCACAACCAGAGCACGGGCCATCCTGTTTCTGTTCTCACAGCCTCTAGTACTCAACACAGTCCAGCCCTCCTTGGCCTGAATCAAGTTTGACCATTTGGAATATCTTAATTGGTTGGAAAATCAGAAAGGGACCCTATTCTTAGCACCTAGGGGCAGAGAATAAATACACAGTGGATAACTCAGTTGGACAAGGCTACTTTATATTAACATGCCTCATTGCTGTGCCTGAGCTCACGTCTCTAGCCTTTTGCTGGGCTCGTTGACTCATCTTAGGGCCTCTAGAAAAACATGTAAAGATACAAGTGTGTATTTTTTTCCTTCAGTAGATATGAGCATGAGAAGGTCAGCATATCTGTGCATGCCTCTGTGTGTGTGTGTGTATAGTGGTAAACCAGAGTGAATGTATGTTCCTAGGTGAAATATATTTAGAGAGGAGGATCAGCTTATGAAGGTATTATTAAAGAAAAAAATGATTAATTCTTAGTCACTTTCTGAATGTCTTTTGTTTTGTTAGGTACATTGCCTTTGACTTCCATAAGGAATGTAAAAATATGAGGTGGGATCGGCTAAGTATTTTATTGGATCAGGTAGCAGAAATGCAAGATGAATTAAGGTAAGCTCTGCTATTTCTCTGTGGAAATTGAGGGATGAGATAGGTGCATATGTTAATCATATATGTTATGCATTATCTAGCAGACCTACACATATAGTTCACTAGGTTCATAGCACTGGTCTGTTCTCATTTTTAGTTTTTTTTTCCTGAAAGATTAGGCTTGGTGATTTTTTAAGTATTTTAAAATTTTTAAAAATGACCCAAGTCTAGGTATTTTCATATTTTTATGTATTATCTTCTACACATTTACCAATTTTTACACAATTAAAGATAGTTTGCTACTGTTTTATGTTCAGTTCTTTTCACTAAATATGTTATCACTTTTTGTCATTAACCTACCAAGACTCTAATATTAGCATTTAGTGGCTCTGCTGTGTCCCATGGTGTCATAGCACAGTTAGCTAAGTGTTCTTCTTCACATTGGGCAGCTGGTTCATTTCCTTTTCTCTTCCTTCCCTGAAAGACTGTGCTTCAGTGAATCACTGGGTATAAGTATATTTTTACTTCTGTTAAATTCTTCAGGGTAGGATAATGGACTGAAGGGTCTAGATATCTTTCTGGTACTTATGTGTGTTAAGGTGTTAATTACTGTGTGGCTTCATAGATGGATTGTACTCTATGCATATCAGTCTTTACTTGTTTTAGAGCCAGAAGTAGGAATCTGGAAACTAGTCTCATTTCGTTTTTGCTTGGCAAGCCAAATGTACTGTGTTAATTTCAGTTTCATGGTAACATAGTAAAGCTTCTCCTATAGTCTTTTGCTCAGCTTTAAGAAAAATACATTTTTATGCATATTAAGTAATACCTGCTGCTGCTGCTAACCACTCGGTCATGTCCAACTCTGTGCAGCCTCATGGACTGTGGCCCACCAGGCTCCTCTGTCCGTTGGATTCTCCAGGCAAGAACACTGGAGTGGGTTGCCATTCCCTCTCCAAGAATTGCCTCTGCCTACTCTTTAATTACAGCCTTTTGTTTCATGTTATTTTAGAATCTTTGAGAGTCTCTATATTGGTAATGAAAGAAAAGTGAAGTCGCTCAAGTTGTGTCTCACTCTTTGTGATCCCATGGACTGTAGTATACCAGGCTCCTCCGTCCATGGGATTTTCCAGGCAAGAATACTGGAATGGGAGTGGGTGGGCTAACACTGGAGTGGGTTGCCATTTCCTTCTCCAGTAATCCCAGCTATAGTTAGTTTAATCTGCTTTTTTCCCCCACCTCCACCCCTTCCCCATGAGGTTTTGTTTTGAGCATAGCTAGTGTAGAGGGGTTGATCTGTATCATTATTGGGGTGAGAGAAACATTGTCGGGGGGGTATTTCCTTGAGTTCACCTGTTAATCACAGCCCCACAAGAGTTAAGAGAGAAGGAGAGATTGACGCCAAAATGTCTGTCCATTGCAGTCACCATGTTCCACAGGGACAGTAGACCCCTTTCATGAAACTGTGACGTTCAGACCTCTCTGCATATTTGTTCTCAGGGATTTAGGGGAAACTGGAAAGAATCTGGGCTTTGGGGCCCTACCCAGAGTGTTGGAAATTTCAGTTTGCCTCTTATTAGCTGTGTGAACAGGGGCAAGCCTTGATTTCTCCATCTGGAAAGTGGAGATAATAATATTTATCTCTTAGACCTGTTCTGTAGTTCAAGAAGTAATACTTATAAAATATGTAGTAGTTGTTTTATAAGTACTAATGGGATGCCAACACTCACATGCAATCTGTATATACATACTCTAATTGAACCTCACCGGTTTGGAATGAACCTCTTGTATATCTTTAGTCTAAACACATTCTTTTAAGCCGGTTTTTGTTTTTGGCATCCTGACATACGGTATCTTAGTTCCCTGACCAGGGACCTAACTTGTGTCCCCTGCACTGGAAACATGAAATCTTAACCACTGGACTGCCAAGGAAATCCCTTAAACCCTTGTTTTTTAAGGTCATGATTTTTAGCCTGTGGTGAATCTGTTGTATTTCCCCTTCACTTTTTGAGTTTAGGGGATAATTGTGGTTAATTTAATACTGTTTAGTATTCGTTGTATTCTCTGCCCCATGCACTCTGCCGAGCACTTTATGTGCATTATACATGATCTTGTTTAACTTTAGAGCAGCCTATTGGTGGTGCTCCTAGCTCCAGTTTGTGGGTGGGAAAATATAGGCTCTGAAAAATTAGGTTATTTACTTAAAATTACACAGCTAGTAACTTGCCTAAGAACTAAGGCTAGCAAACTTTGCTGGCAAAGTCTGTGCTCTTCACCACCACACTATATGTTGTCAAATATGGGGGTTCATAGAATTATTTGAACAGATTGTTAAAAATGACGGAACCACAGGAACTGGTACTGTGTTTGGCTCCACTGCAGACATCTGGGTGGTTCAGGAGAGAAAGTAAAACAGATTTTTCAAATAATACCCTATTATCCTCTATAAACGGTGCACTATTTGCATATGTTAGCCATTTTAAGAAGGGATTTTAAAATGTTTTTAATGCACAATATCCAATCCTTTCTTCAGACATCTTATTCAGTTTATTTCTGAATTGTTTGTTAAAAGTGAAGGCCAAGCATGTTCATTTTTAATGAACAACTCAGGGAGTTCTGATACAGCACGGGGACTGAGGAAGGGGCCACAGATGCGCCATGTCGAAGGAAGCCCTCTTCTGGCCTTGGGAGACATGGTGTTGCCCATCGCATCTGTTACAATACTCCCAGCTCCTCCTTCACATCTGTTGGGTTAAGTGACCTTGATGCTACAGTTGTTTTGAGATAGAGTCTGTCTTGTCTGTTCTGTTCAAACTTCCTTATGGTCTTTGGTCATCAGATATACCTGAACTGTACATTTCCTGTCTGTCCTTTAATTTACCAGCTTTAATAATGTTTCTGACATAGACCTGTGTTATAAGAGGGCTGTCCTTAGTGGGAGGGCTTCTCTGATAGCTCTCAGAAGAATCCGCCTGCAATGCAGTAGACCCTGGTTCGATTCCTGGGTGGGGAAGATCCCCTGGAGAAGGGACAGGCTACCCACTCCAGTATTCTTGGGCTTCCCTTGTGGCTCAGCTGGTAAAGAATCTGCCTGCAATGCGGGAGACCTGGGTTCGATCCCTGGGTTGGGAAGACCGCTTGGCTGGCTTTGGTATGAGAGTGTTTATACAAATATGTGTTAGTTATTTTCTAGTGGACCCATCCGGCTTGGTGCTGAGTAACCAGGAGGGTGTGTTCCGCAGCAACTGCATGGACTGTCTGGACAGAACCAACGTGATCCAGAGTCTGCTGGCTCGCCGTTCACTTCAGGCCCAGCTTCAGGTGCACATGCTTTTTTTCTTTTATTAAGTAAACAATTTTTGAAAACCAATAATAAAACACATTTATATGTCCCCGCCCTAACCCAGCTCTATTTGGTTTTGTGTCTTGGCATCCATGGGTGTAGTTTGTGCATGACCACGGTCAGTGTGTGTTTACAGTTTTAAAGTTTGCTATTTTGCTCTAGCATTATAGTTTTTTAAGAGTTGTACTGTTGTGCTGTAATTCAGTAAGCCATTTAGGTTGCTACATTTTTGGCTTATAAACAAGATTGTAGAGAATACACCTGTGTATAATATTATTAGCTTGAATTATTTCCTTTGAGTTAACTCCTACTGGGTTAAAGAGAATTTTTACTTTCCAAGGGGCTTCCCAGGTGGCACCGTTTGCCAGTGCAGGAGACATAAGAGATGTGGGTTTGATTCCTGGGTTTGGAAGATCCCCTGGAGGAGAGCATGACAACCCATTCCAGCATTCTTGCCTGGAGAAGCCCATGGACAGAGGAGCCTGGTGGGCTACATTTCAAGGGTTGGAAAGAGTTTGATATGCCTGAAGCAACTTTGCACGAATGCATACTTTCCAAGAGGGTTACACCAGTTTACCCCTAATACTAGCCAGCAATAATAAAAGAATCTTGCTAGCATTAAGTATTTTTATTTAGAAAGGTTTTCTTTTCTAACAGTACAGAGTAGTACCTCTAGGTTGTTTTTGTTTGCATCTCTTTTATTGTTGGCAAGGGATGTTAACACCCAGGTAAATACTTTGTGACACAGCTTTGCTGCACCAGTGTGACTGTGTTGTTTCTTTTGTTTATATATGGAGCTAAAAATACATACAGCCTAGATTTCCAGACCTCAGTGGTGGTGGTTGTAGGGAGCAAACAAAATGCATCCCAAATGATTTCCTGCCTAAATTATTTGTAAGCATTCATCTTTGTTTATGGCAAATCTGTGGGACACTGGGAAGAATTGTGGAGTAAAACACCTCCCCGAATCCTCACGTGGTCTTGCTGAAGGCGTGGTCACCGCCTTTGAGTACTCTAGCTTGTGTGATGCTGTGTCCTTGTCAGTCTGATGGCTTTACTTCAGAGGATAGTTTTCAGTAGAAATCATATTGGGACTGGTTGTTTCCAAGGCTGGTTAACAGAAATCTGTTGGACTAGACTCTGTAATCTGTATTTAACTAATTTGCACGCTAAAAACAGTCCTATAAAAGCTCAGCAACCTGCAGAGAGCCTTTGGGCAGGAGCCTATCCAGCCTCAGGGCCCACTGACGTGGGGCCTCCAGCTGTGCCTGTCCCCTTCCAGAGAGGGCCGGTCACTGGGGGAGTGAGGGAAGGGTCATCGGAGGCGAGCAGTGAAGATAAGTGGTTCTAAGAGGGTTGCGGGTCCGAAACAAGACCAAGGCGGGAGTCCCTAATCTGTGGTCAGTGAACTCCAAAGGGGAGTCCATCGAGAGACTCAGGCTGCCCAGAGTCCTGTGAGATGATAGGCAAAGGGCTGTGCTTCGGTGCAGTTTGTGGTGAGGGAGGAAGGTAGCGTTCATCCAGTTCTCAAAGGGCCCCTGGGTTAGGGGTAAGTGTGGAGTCAGCAGTCTGGGGTGGTGAGTTGTGAAGCGGGTAGAGGGTCCAGGTGATGGGAGGTTGGGTGGGGGGGGGGGCGGCAGGGAAGGAGGGAGCACTGACTGCATACTACCCACCTCTCCCTCTGCCCCATCTCTGGGTTTACACAGTCCTGCCACTGGGGCTCAGGGGAGAGAGGGGCTGTGGCAGATGGGAGCCCAGAGAGAGGGTTTGCAGCCGGGCCGAGCAGGAGAGGGCTGTGGTCCCCACCTACAAGGAGAGCGCCTCCTGCCTGCAGCCAGCAACCACGTGAGACTCTGGAGACTCTGCTTTTTGTTCCTAAATCACATGTGCTAAAATCTGTAACATGTAAACATGGGTATGATTCTTATTCCAGAGACTAGGAGTTTTGCATGTGGGACAAAAGCTTGAAGAACAAGATGAATTTGAGAAGATTTACAAAAATGGTAGGTCATTTCTTGAACAGAGGCAAGGTTATTCAAATTTTGAAATAAATATTTTGGATTTAGAGCATTGATTGTCAATGATTATTAACTGATTTTTCCTTTTCTTTTTCTTTTTTTCTCCCACAGCCTGGGCTGACAATGCAAATGCTTGTGCCAAACAGTATGCAGGAACTGGTGCCTTGAAGACTGACTTTACCAGGTAAGCCATGCGCCGAAGTTGCATTCCGGTCCAGGGGTGCACTGTTCCGGTGCATGGTAGACTGCTCGGGCGAGTTTCACACAAGAGCTCTGTTACCTGGGCCTCGTCCCAGGCCATTAAGCTGGGACTCGGGGGAGATGAGGCCCAGGCACCGGTGGCTTCTTAGCTTCCCTGGGTGATTCTGGTGCACAGTGGGGTTGGGCACCTCAGCTCCTCTCAACCGCCTGCTGAGCACCTGACTCACCCCAGGCCCATTCAGCCGGTCTGGGAAGGACCTTGAGACTGTGCCCACGTGATGCTGGGGCTGGTTTCAAGGACCATACTGGGTAGTGAGAAGTTGGGATGTGTTGAATTTGTTACAAATGTGGTTGGGTCTTTTTCTGCTGTATGGATTCTCTGGGAGCAAGATAAGATTTCTAATCTGTTTACTTTATACCACTTAACCTGGGCTATGCATTTCTCTTCTTATTTCTTGTCTTTGCGAGTGGAACTGAGCACGTTTCCTCTTTGTGTCTCCTGTGGTAATGCTCTAGAAAGAGGATGCACATTTCTTGGACTCAGTACTGGTTTCTTTTGTGAGATGTCTCCTTTATATATTCAGGAATTTTAAAAAAGAAATCTTTATAATTTATTTATCTCCATACCACATACTTATTGGCTGTAAACAGTGTAAGAATTTAATATGCAAATCTGTAACTCAAAACTTAACCTCTTATTTAACCAGAACTGGAAAGAGAACTCAGTTGGGACTTATAATGGATGGCTGGAACTCATTAATACGGTATTACAAGAACAACTTTTCTGATGGATTTAGACAAGTAAGTTTGTTTTCTGATGCTAATTTGTGGTTATTTGGTGGCTGTATCTTTGTACTGTTCCCCATACCTAATTTGGGAGTTATTATTTTGCTTTTTTCTCTTCTAGGATTCCATAGACTTATTTCTTGGGAACTATTCAGTGGATGAATTAGAATCTCATAGTCCTTTAAGTGTTCCAAGAGATCTGAAATTCCTGGCTGTAAGAAACCTTTATGTTTTTTAAGTTGTTAACAGCATGGTGACTGAAGGTACAGATAGTCCAGCTCCCCTTGACATAAAACATTATGTTGTTCTAAATGGAATATGAACACTTAAGTTGCCGCAAGGAGCAGATGAGGGAGAAGAGTGAGGTCACTTTGGAATGTCGCCCTCTCTCACACCTGACTGTCCTTTGCGGATCCTTTGTTTGGTTTTGTTCCTTTTCAAAGCGTTGTCCTGGCTTGTGCCGCCAGCGGCGTGAATCAGCCATAATTACACACACAGCCCCTCTCTGTGGAGTCCCCTCCCCTCCCCGCATCGGCCCCTCCGGGTCATCGGAGGGCCAGGCTGGGTTCCCTGTGCCACACAGCAGCTCGTCACCAGCTCTGCATTTTACACATGACCATGTGTACACGTCAGTGCTACTTTCTCCACTTGTCCCGCTGTCCCTCCCCAGCTGCCTCCACGTGTCCATCCTCTACATCTGTATTTCCTGCCCTGCAGATAGGATCATCAGTACCATTTTTCTAGATTCCACATATATGGGTTAATACACAGTATTTTTTTTCTCTTTCTGACTTCACTCTGTAGACAAGGCTCTGAGTTCATCTACCTCACTAGAACTGACCCAGATTTGTTCTTTTTTATGGCTGAGTAATACTCCATTGTATATATGTACCGCATTAAAAAAAAATCTATAAACAATAAATGCTCAAGAGGATGTGGAGGAAAGGGAACAGTCCTTCACTGTTTGTAGGAATGTTAACTGCATAGCCGCTATGGAGAAAAGTATGGCGTTCTTACAAAAACTAGGAATATATCTACCATATGACCCAGCAACCCCACTACTGGGCATATACCCTGAGAAAACCACAGTTCTAAAAGACACACGCCCCAGTGTTCATCGCGGCACTGTGTATGATAGCCAAGACATGGAAGCACCTAGGTGTCCGTTGCAGATGCTGTTTAAGTGAGAACACAGGCACGGAGCAGGTGTGAGGGCCTCTCGTTTCGGAGAGACACTGCTTCCCCCGAGCTTCAGGATCTGCTGGAGGCAAACCTGTGACATGGAAGTCAGTGTATGTTTTTGTTATGTCTCTCGTTTCTGACTCGGTCACCAGACTTTGCAAGAGCCTCTCTGGGGTTTCATGCCAGCGGGCTTGGTGTCCTGGAGTGGGGGGACCTAGAGTCTGAGTACACATCTGGGTGACCTCCCTCGGCTTTCTTCAGATCTTTTAACCTGTTTGAAGATTTGGGCAGTTATGATCAAAACTCTAATGATGTTTTGCTGAAAGAAAGGTATTTTGTATATCAGATAGAGAAGTGTTCTGTTGTCTTTCAGGGAAAGCAGACAGCTGATTTTACAACCTTTGATTAGCATCTTACGTGGTGGTTTCTGTTTCCTTTTCCAGTTGCCTATTATCATGGTTGTTGCCTTTTCCATGTGCATTATCTGTTTGCTGATGGCTGGTAAGTCTGCACTCATTTCACATTCATCTTTTAGATTGTTGAACTTTTCTGTACAGCATCTTAAGTTTGCACCTGCTCAGTACGTGGTGTGTCCAGTTAAACTGAGTAAAGGGAACAGGTGATGCGAGTCCTTAGATGTGACAGGAGGGAAAACATATACTCGGTAGCTTGTTGGCGTGTTTTTTTTCCACTTAAGCTTTTTAATTTTTTTTTCCTTCTTACCAAAGTAATACCTAGTAATTACAGAAAATACAGTTAGACAAAAAAGAAAATGTTATCACCTTGCCTTTCAGAGATAAGCTAATTATTCTTTAACGTTTTGATGTTTTAGTCTTTGTAGGTGTGTATGTTTTTTTTTTCTTTTTTTTTTTGTGTGTGTTTTTATTTTTTTATTTTTATTTTTTATTTTTTTTTTTCCATTGTTGAAAATAGTTCTTTTTTTTTTTTTTTTTTACATGTATTCCCCATCCCGGTCCCCCCTCCCACCTCCCTCTCCACCCAATCCCTCTGGGTCTTCCCAGTGCACCAGGCCCGAGCACTGTATGTTTTTTTTTTCAAAAGGCAGATCCTATAAACTTTTTTGTACTGTTTTTTTCACTGAGCAGTATAAATATTTATCCATGTATTTTACTTTGAATGGCTGCAAAGTATTCCGTTGACGGATGTATAGTTTATGTGACCAACCACCTATTGTTGGGCGAGTCAGTGTTATTATAGATTAATACATAGTAAATTTAAATAGAAACATTGCCTAGGAACCTGAGCTAACAAATGGGTCTTACTGGTTTTCTTTTTCCTCTCAGTATTTTCCTGTCACTAAGTTAATGGGGTTAAGTTACTTAGCTGCTTATTTAGTAATATTCAGTGCTCTGAGAGTGAGAGTCTGTGATGCTCGTGTTTTGCCTGGAGGTGCAGCCTCAGGCACTCGAAGGGGCGCCTCTGCACTCAGCCTCTGTTCTCCCTGCACAGACATCAGCTCCCCCTTTCTGGGTCCCACAGTATGGTGTGTCCCTCCCTCAAGAGCACTCCCCTCTCCTAACAGCGTGAGCACTGCGGGGTCTCGTCCTCAGAGGTGCCCTGCTCCGTGGCGTCCAGCACCCAGTTGGGTAGTCATGCTTTGCATACTTGCTCATCTTCCGGAGTGCATCAGCAGCTTTTTGAAGGCAGAGACCTGTCTTACTATGTTACCTCCTGCGCCTAGGATTCAGGGTGCACATACCAAATTGCCTCAGCCATGCCCGACTCTTTGCGACGCCATGGACTGTAGCCCACCGGACTCCTCTGTCCGTGGGATTTCCCAGGCAAGAATACTGGATACAGGAAGCCCTCAGCAACAGTTTCCTGAATTAAGGCCTCCTGTTCACCCCCCACACTAATTCTGCCAGCTTCCCCAGGGGCGTCTCGGAGCCTGTTGGTCTCTGTAATCCCCGAGTGTTCAGCAGTGAAGGTGGTCACCACACAGGAAGGAACCGCCCTTGTGTTACTCTAGGGCAGAGGTTAGCGTGTGTTTTCTGAAAAGAGCCAGACCATAAGTATTTTAGATTCTGCAAGCTACACATGGTCTCTCTTGCACACTGTTTTTGCAGCTGTTTGAAAGTGTAAAAGCTCCCACAGTCCAAAAACAGGCCGGGGGCCCTCAAGTGCCGCGTCGCTGTGTGCCGTGATGGGGGCCTGTGTCACGTTCGGGGCAGGACGGAAAAGGAGGGACCAGCAGACTGTGCTGCTCGCGGTTCAGTCCACGCCCTCGATCCACTGACTTCTTTCTTTAACACACTGCCCAACGGATGCCTTTTCTGGGAGCCACGCCACTGTTGAGTTAGCTTTGTTATCTTGGTCTTTTTATATACACACATTTCCCTCTAGAACGTCTGCAAAGGCAGGGACATCAGGACCAAGACTCAGCCAGAACAAATGGACCATCCCTTTGGGGAGTGACCCAGGGTGGACTTGTGAGGAACCACCTTTCTCTTTATCCAGAAAGAGCTTTAAAACCCAGAGCTGTCAGAATTAGCAACTGTATAAATATGAATGTTGTACAAGTGAAGATGGACTGGATGCTGTGGATAGTAATCCCTGATGTCAGTTAGTTGTTGTAACATAATGATGTTTGTGGTGTTTAGATATGACAGTGTTTGATTTCTAGCCACTACTTTGGTTTTTAGTGAAAGTCACTCAGTCGTGTCCGACTCTTTGCAACCCCATGGACTATATAGTGCATGGAATTCTCCAGCCCAGAATACTGAAGTGGGTAGCCTTGCCTGTCTCCAGGGGATCTTCCCAACCCTGGAATCGAACCTAGGTCTCCCACATTGCAGGCAGATTCTTTACCAGCTGAGCCACAAGGGAAGCCCAAGACTACTGGAGTGGGTTGCCATTCTCCTCCGGGGGATTTTCCTGACCCAGGGTTCGAACCCGGCTATCCTGCATTGCAGGTGGATTCTTTAATGTCTGAGGCACCAGGGAAGTGTAGTCAAGTGGTTCTCAAGTGTGGTCTCTCGACCAGCAGCATCAGCATAATCTGGGAACTTGTGAGAAATTCAGCTTCCGGGGCCCTGCTCCAGGCCTGCCAGAGGCTGGGGATGAGCCCAGCAGTTGACACTTTTTCCGGCCCTGAAGAAGATTCTCGAGCCAGCCAGAGTTTGAGAACCACTGGTTCAAACCTTAACTGAGAGGTTCTTAGGTTTTTCCTTTGGATGTGTTTGTAAACTTTAATGCTGTCAAGATGTGCTAAACAGCTGAAAGCTAGAACTAGTGTCAATAAAATGACTTGTTATTTATCAGTTCTTTGTTTTTTTAAAATCAACAGGTGACACATGGACAGAAACCCTGGCCTATGTGCTCTTCTGGGGAGTCGCAAGCATTGGAACATTTTTTATTATTCTTTACAATGGCAAAGACTTTGTTGATGCTCCCAGATTGGTCCAAAAAGAAAAGATAGACTGAATTTGTGTCTGTGGAAAGCGGCTTGGCCTGGAAGATTCCATCATGCAGAACTGGAGTCTTTACTGACCCGCTTTCCACGGCAGCCGAGATCTTTGTAAATCGTTTATCCAGGAGCACATCTTGTTCTTGGGGGTGGGGGTGATGACTTAGAGTTGATCTGGTGTTACTGCCTTGATGATCTCTTTACTATATTGGGATAGTTATATTTATAATTTGAAGCTAATCTGTAATTAAAATGTAACTTGAATTCAACTCACAGGATGGAAGGAACCTATACATCGTCATTTTAATCAGCCATTGCAGAATGAGTAATATATTTAAAAAATCTAGCTTCTTCCCTCATTTGAAACAGTGAAATTATTTTTCTAGCTCAGTTTATTGTCACTGTAGAAGCAGTTGCTATTAGCAGGCTTACTTTTCCATATACCTTTGAACTTAACAGTTTAACAGTAAGCTAACTCTAGTCTGTTCATAACGTGTAAATCTACATAGAGATAGTTGGACAAAATCGTCCATGACTACATAGTAGGAAAGAGGAGACCAGGGTCTGGTGCTCCTCTTGAGTTCTAGGTGGGCTGCCTTACGAGTTCAGTCAGCTTGAACTGTGCAGTTTAAGTGTGATGAAAAAAGTTCAGATATACTCTATCTTTTTTAAAAGGTGTAAATGAATGTAAAGTCTATTCCTCATGCTAGAGGTCCAAAGCCGCCTCAGTCTTCGGGATCGCCCCGGTGTGGGAAACACCCTCACTTGGTCAGCGCCTCCCTCCTGGCCCTCGTGCTTTCCTAGGGTCTTTCTTCGAGACACGCAGGTCCCTGAGCGCGTCTCATGCCGAATTCCATGTTGCACTTGGAGGCAGCAGCTGCTTTTCCACGCACGGTAGTGTTGACACTTTTCACTCTGTAATTATTTTTGTTAGCTCTCAGTAAGTGTGTCTGAAATTTAGTGCTTCCAGGTAGTTATTGTTCTCCAAATCAAGGACCAACTTACAGCTTTAATTTATGTGCAGAAATAAACCTGAAGAATACGCTTTAGAAGCTGTGCATAGTTCTAATTAATAAGTTGGAAACTGTATATTGAAATTTAATTATGAGGTTTAAAAACTAGAAAGTATCTAAGGTAGTGTAATTGCCACTATTTTACAATAGTTCGATTAAATACTGCTGCAATATTTGTGTTGTGCTTGAAAATATGTACAGAGTTTTTTTTTCCAATGGTAATACCTTTTTTTGTCCTTAAATATCTCTAAAAAGCGCCTTGATTTTAACATCACCTTTTTTCCAACATTATCATTGATAAACGTTAATAAGAGTTGTTGCTTTTAGAAACTCTAAAGGAAATAATAGCTGGAAAACCCTCTGTAGCTTAAAGTCAGTCGTTAACACTCACAATAGGGTGAGTAATTAGAACTGCCTACTCTTATCTTGTAAATAAGCATCATTTGTTCCAAAGAGGAAATTTCAAAACTCGGTTCATGTCTACTAGGACGTACTGGGCATTTCACGTTAAGAACTTATTTCAACAACCACGACAAAGACCAAATCTGAACTGCTGATGTGGCTGTTTTGCAGTGAATGGGCTAATGTTGGTGTGTTAGACCTTGAGGTGTCAATATTTCAGAAACCTGCAGTGATTTTATTCCTAAATTCATGTACTGTCTCATCTGTAAGTGAAAATAAAATGACATATTCTTTTCTAACTAATGTTGGTGTCATTCCTGTACCTTGTCTTCAAAGGGATGTGCTTTTTTATTTCAGAACTTTAAGAATCATGCAAAGCAATGCACGGTCATCATTATCTTTAAAATACTATGTTCTTTGCCACATAGGCCTCTCCGTTTTGGCAGTTCGGTTCATCAAAGCCAGTAAGTCACATTCTTCTTTAGCCTCGTCTCCGAAGTGTCCTCTCATCTCTCAGGTGAGCCATATTCTCTGCGCTAGAAACAAGTCGCTGGGTCGGCGCACTCGGGGAGGGGACCACGCATGGGGCGGATACAGGGTGGGGGGCTCTCTGTCAGTCTGGTCGCATAGCCTGGAAGGAGGGAGCGATCCAAAGTCGTGATTCAGAGCTGGTGAGAATCAGGTGTTTGCTGTGCTGTGCCTTTGGGTCTTCTGCCCATTTCTGTTAGATTGCCTGTCCTTAAAGATTTGTTGGAATCCTTGTCTGTAGAGGAATTATCTGTGGGTTATGTGTGCTGTATGTTTCTTCCAGTCTGTGACTTCTCCATTTTCTTGTGACTTTTGGTGGAAGAAGTGTGTGACTTCAGTGATGTTGAGTTTACCAAAAATTCCCTCCCACCACTTGTGCCTGAGTAAGGCCACATGGCTCAACTCCAAGGGGGTCCTTTTGAGATAATTTTGTCTTTTCACCTTTTAGGTATTTTTTCCTCTGCGTAAAGTAAGGAAGGGGTTTGTGTCCGTCCAGGTAGATCAGATTATGCTGAGGTAACAAATGAGCCACAGATCTCAAGGGTATTAAAAAAACACGAAGGCTTATTTCTCATTGCTTCTGTGTATCCTTGAAGGGCCTGCTGCAGCTCTGCGACGTGCCGTCTGCTTTCTGGGGCCCAGTGACGGGACAGCTTCACATGGGAACATGACCAGTTGTCTTGGCAGGAAGGAAAGGGAGACATTTCCACCTGAAGGTGACAGCCCCTTCTGCTCACATTTCATTTGTCAGAGCAGGTCGCATGGCCAAACCTGAAGTGCCGGACAGAGGAGCACAGCCCGGGAGGGACTCTGTGCTGTGATCCGACACGCGGTCCAGTTTTCTTGTCCCGCGTGGTTCCTGAGAGGTGCAGCACTGCCTCTGTAGGACTGCAGGCTCCCCCCACTGCCAGGGGCGTCGGGCTTCTGCACTGCCGAGAACGCATCCTCACTCCCGACGCCTTTTGCAGGGTGGTCTGGCTCTGCCCTGAGCTCGGGGCCCCAGCTCCTCAGTCTATGGGCCAGAGGATTCTCCGGAGGGTATTTTGCAGTAACCCGAGTCCTGCTCATAGCTTTTTTTTCTTTTTTATTTTGACAATAGGAATCTGAGATGAGAGCCATTTGCAGACATCAGATTAAAGTCAGTTGTCTCAGCTCTTGGGCTTGTCAGAGGTTTGAAAAGTGACTCCTAGAGGGGTAAGAAGTGTAAGTAAGTAAGTACGAAGGGGCAAGAAAATGAAGGGTAGAGTGTGTGTAACACAGCAGCACCAGAATTTTTTGTCTGGGATTTTTTTTTATTTACAGAGCATCCTGTGAAGCTGAATTTGGATAAGGTGTGCATGAGAGCAAGCACTTGGCCGTGGAGTTGAAAAGCGTGGGCTCTGATTTGTATTTGGACCTCACTTGAGGGTTGAACTTGGTCTCTTCACAGTCTTTGATTCTCATCCACATGGCAGTTCCCTACGATCGCCGTGCACACACACACCTGCTGAGAAGCCCAGGTAAGTCTACAGGCGGAAGGTCTTCCTCAAGGTCCAGCTCCCGTCCTCCGTGTTGGACGTCATGCAGAGGCGCCATGAGTGGGGCTTCACTGCGGGGAGCAGACAGTTAATGAGTTGTTGTGACATATGTATAATTGTCACCACAAATGCCCTGGTCCTGGCTGAGCTGGTTAGACGGCCTGTTTGTTCTTAGCACTTCCTTTCACCGATTATTCTGAGCATGACTTTGTCTTTCCTTTTTTTTTAGCCCAAGGCCCAGGCATTCATCTTTCTTCATTCACCGTTTTCAGTGATGCATGCCTCTTGTGTATTTAGTTTTCTGGCTGTACAGAGCTACTGTGTCATCCATTAAAATATCGTCTTACATCTTTTGTCCTAAATTGGTCTCCTGTTACAGTCGGGTTTAAGCGTAGACTCTGAGGTGAGAAGCAGAAAGTACAGGTCGTCAGTTGTGTCTAGGAGACCTGGAGATGTCCTTCTGTCTGAGCTTTCGGGAGCACACCTCCTCCTGGGTTCTTTACTCTACACTCTCGCCCGCTGATGTCTCCTCCCAGCTTTATCCCTGTCCTGGCTTCCTGTTGCTGGAAGGCAGTCTCACAGTGTTGTGAGTCAGGAGTCGCAGCCGGGTGTGAGCTCAGCTGGGTGACTCCTGTGATCCAGGGGGCGCTGACAGGGGTCTCTGAGCTGACAGAGGGGCTGGTCTCCCTGGCCCAGGTTGGTCTGGTGCGACACAAGGGAGGCCGGAAGGTGGATGCCACTGGTTCTGTTAGCCTCTGCGCCTCTGCGTGGCCCTGCCGCCTCGGGGCGGCCCGAGTGAGGGGTCCAGTAATCCAGGTGGAGGCCTCTGTGGTCGAGCCTCTGACGTCAGGTTTCCTGGTCGAAGCACTCAGAAGCCCATTCAGAGGCCCGGGGAGGCACATAGACCCCCTCTGTGAGAAGGACGGAAAGGAAGCCGTGGCTGTGTCTGCAACACTGGGGTTTTTGTACCTCTCCACCCTAGGCCCTCTTCTCCACGTACACACTTGCCCCCAGTGATGCTGTTTAGACCCCTGATTTTGAATAGCACTTTTGTACTGTGATTCCCAAAAATATACCTCTAGATTGGATCTTTCCCAAAGCCTAGATTCTGATGTTCAACTGCCTACCCCATATTCCCCCCTGATTCACAGTCGCCTCAAACTAAATGCAGTCTAGCAGAGGTTTTTTTTTTCTTTTTTCCTTTTTCCAGGACTCTTGATTTATATACTCTGTAGACCAGTTGGTTCCATGCCCAGCTTTCTCCATCTCAGAAAATGCCACCAGCATCCACCCAGTAAATGTGACATTATATCCCTCTCCTCCTTTCAACTATGCATCCTGTCCATAAGCAAGTCTTGACAACTCTTCCCTCCAAAATACACCTCAGGTCCACCAGTTCCTCACATCAGTGTCCACACCAACCACCGTCTCGCCCGTGGACTCACTCACCCCATGTATAGCCCCTGTGGTCCCTTCTCCACAGCCATGAGTAATCTTGCAGTGTCAGCTGGTTGACACAGGGTCCCATGTTAAGACCCTCGGGTGAGATTTTGCTGC